AAAATCTAAATCCATAAATTCCCATAATCTAAACAATAGATTTGATTTAAATATAAATTCAAATCTAAATCCAAATTCATATATATCCAAATATAATTATAAGTTATTTGATAAAATTTGCTTGTCTTTGATAGAATTAATACTCTTGTTTTGCTAGATGAGATATTTCATTTATTGAGGTTTAAAAATACTACGTGTTTTTAGAATTTTAGATTACTTTTAGATGTATTTCATTGCTACGAGAATTTTAGTACTTTTAGAATTTGCTAGATTTGTTTTTATAATTTGTTTCTATATTGCATAATGCAAGGGGCTATTAGACATGCAGCCACATATTTAAAAAAAAAAATTTCAAACATATACTAGTTATTTGAAACTAACCATTGCATAGTTGAAACTATACAGTGGTAATTTGAAATAAACACTGTATGGTTCAAGCTATGCATCGGTTATTTTCAAATAACTATTATATAGTTTAGTCTCCAAACTATATAATGATTATTTGAAAATAATCATTATATATACCTCCAATATACTATGGTGATTTCAAAATAACCATTATGGATACTATTTTTTATAGTAATATCACTTGCTATATACTTCATCATAATTCCAAAGCAATATTCTTGTACTAGTTTTGTTGCTACTCTTAAGTATAAAATACATTTTAGAAAGAAAATTAAGTGAAGATTTATCATGATATAATCTTTAAAATTAGGAGAATTTGGTAGCAGTTTATGGAACAATCCGTACACATGCATGAACATACTACTACAAAAAAGATTTATATAACAATTATTTTTACATATGCATAATGATTTTTAACCACTATATATTGTAGCAATATAAATTCTCCAAGCAAATATGAAGCAGTTTTTAACTGCTATATATTAGAAATATATATAATAGTTATTTTGAAATAATTGTTTTATAGTTTGAAAATTGAATTATATAACGATTATTTTGAAATAACTATTATTTTGAAATAAACTTTTGCTTCAAATAACCAGTATACATTTAAATTTTTTTATAAAAAAAATCTGGGGCTATGTTTATTATTGTCGTCTGCATGATATAATATAGAAACAAATTCTAGCAACAAATCTAGCAATAAAATTCTAAGAGCACCCAAAATTCTAAAACATATAGTATTTCTAAGCTTGGGTATATAAAATATCTCATCCAACAAAACAGGAGCATCAATTCTATCAAAAGACATCCAAATTTCATCAAATAACTTATAGGTATTTGAAAATATTGGGATGAGAAAATGATGCAGGCTAGAATTAAAGGTTGAAACACGAGTAAGGATAGAAATTGAAACCAAATGATTGTGGGATTTAGGCTAAAATATGTGGACGATCTTTAGATCTAAACGAGTTTCGATGGACAAGCTAGAGCAAAAGCAATGACCACTTCCAATTTGGTAGGCATTGGCAACTTTAATGGAAAGGGATGCATAGATGCTTTAAATCCAGATGACTTTGGAACCTTCGACTAATGACCAACATTTTTCCTAGTGTAAGAATCCTTTTTCCAAGCTGTATAATGACTAAATTGGAGGACAAAAAGATTGCAACAACGGAGGAAAGGAAATACCAACTTGAGAACAAATAGAAGAGAAAGCTTGAGGAGAAATAATGGAGGGGATTGGTAGACATCAACAAACCATGGCATGCGAAACCCTTGCTTAACGACAATGAAGGAGACAATGATAATGACCCACGATGTACCTTTGGTAGTTAACAGCGAGGGTTGGCAAAAAACAATGATTCTTGGTATAGGGGAGTGTCTTTGTCGTGAATAAGAGAGGTTTTATTGGAGGAAGAGAGAGTTTTAAAGGTTACAAGACATAACAATTCATAAAAATATAAGGAGCTGAATTTTTTTTAAAGGAACAATATAGCTGTTATTTCAAATAGATGCTATATAGTCTATGGGATTAAAAATTTTAAAAAAGAACTCTATATAGTGTTTATTTAAAGTAATCACGATTGTTGATAAACAATCACTATATAGTCTATTAGAAAAAAAATAAAAAAAATAAGACTATAAAATGGTGATTCATATTAGGATAATCGCATTTAAGTATCTCCCAAGAGAATTATCCGCAAACAAAGACCAATGAAAAATGGGAAAAGGAGTGTTTTGCCCCTAAAATTTTCTAGAAGAGCACCCAATACTCTAAAATATTTCGTCTAGAATTTCTGCCCCTGCTACTACTATTATTGCCACTGTTAGTGTTGCTATTACTGCTTTGTTGTTGCTGTTATTATTGTTGTTGCTACTCTTGCTATTGCTACCACTGCTCCTATTACTACCACCACCACCAATCTATGTTGTGACATTTGGACTGAACACATCACTTAAATGCATGGGAAAAAGGAGAAGGAATGTGGCTTGCATTTCCTAACTAGATCTAAATACTATTTTATTATATCTGGCATCTATAAAATCCTTTAGTAGTTGAAGAGAATCTATCTCTCCTCAACCAAAAAAGAAAGACATCGCCTTCTAAACCAAAACATACAGCGAGACTGAGAGAAATAAGCTGAAGGCAAGCAAAACATAAAATCACAAAGTTAGAGACACAATATTGACAAATGATGGGAAAGAATGAGAGGTATAGCAATAAATCAATGTGTAGTCTATGGTGTAAGTAAAACCTTTAACTCAACTTTTTTGTCACAATGGACGTCAATGATGATGATGGTTCATCTCTACTTTATGTAATGATGATGATGGTTCATCTCTACTTTATGTCTCAAAAATAAAGTTAAGCATAGAGAGCTAGGCTATTTTAAAATGACATTATTCCTCGGGGTATTGCATTTACTAATTCATAATCACACTCCTCTCATTGCATCTCCAATCTTCTTATTGCAAAACCTTTACATTTGCAAAAATCTTCAAGCTACAAAGCCTGTCACGCTCTAAAATAGAGGATGATTGAAACGAAATGTGAATTGTACCATGCATCTCTTAAGCTTCAAATTAAAAAATCTTTCCAATTCCAAAACATATTAAATTTTATAATAAAGTCATGACACCCTCAATAATATTCATTATAATGAAAGCTTTAATAAGTTTTTAAAAATTTCAACAAAATCTTCCCTACAAATAGAATCTCCCTAAATCTCTAAAACAAAAAATATTATCATATACATTCAACAATTCAAAGATACACTCCCCATCTAGAGTTAGTCAGCATAATAAAAAAAAATTAGGATCCTAGTTATAGTTAACATGGAGCACCTAAACATAAATTTAAAATAAAACACATAATTGAACATTTAATTGTCAAAAGAAAAGGCATTTTCAAAAATAAAATATTCACCCAACACAATTTAAGCCCCTCAATGATCAACAGGAGGTCCAGTGTTAGCTAATGAATCTGAGGTCAAAATATTTTTTCAGTGAATAACATCCCCAAAAATAAAATTTAAAAGAGTAAAATAATAAACTCAAACAATTAAATAAACAAATTGAAGAGACAATAATTCAATATAATAAACTTATTAAATTTGTAAATTTTAATTATAACCATAAAATGAAAGTGAACTAAAAATTGTTTTATTCTATCAACTTGAAGAAAACAAATTATCTACATGTAAATTAAAGTCATAAATTCACCAATTAAAAGCATTGAAATTTCAAATAACAAATGTTTAGTAAAAATATAAAATTTTGAGAACTTAACAGAACAAGTAACAAACATGGACACATAATCCACGAAAATAAAATAACTAAATGTGGCTTGAGCCATAAAAACATATGTACACACATAGTCCATGAAGATAAGTAATCAGACATGACTGAAACCATGAAACAGACGTAAACACACAGTCCACAAGGGTAACTAACCAGACATAGTTGAAACTACAAAACATACACATGTATGAGACCCACAAATAACAAATATGAAAATAGAGCTCATGAAATCAAACTAGCTAGTAATTCACTAAGGCGCGTCAAGAGCTAACAAAACTGCCATTAGCAACCAGTGTTTTGCTTAAAGTCCTCTAAAATTATTTTTTTCAACCCTGTGAGAAGAATAGTCACTTTTGAAATACCATTTACATTCTCAATATTAGACTTGCACGAATCATTTCAAACTTCAATTCAATGCTCGTCAAAATAAAATTTTATAATTAATGTGCATTATTACATTGAACAGATAACCAAAATTCTCCAAAGCTAGTCAAAATAATTTCACACATCTTGAAAATATAACTCAAGGAAAATACATGTGCATTCCATAACTCAGTTATTCCTTGTGCACAATTTTTTATATTTTCAAAGAATAAAATAGTTTAATTATCAATGTATCCAACACTTATCATAGTAATTAAAAATAATCCACATAAAAATGTAATATTTCAATAGAAGATATTTTATAAATAGATTAATTGAAATGCTATTCACTTACTTAAAATTCTTGGAATTTAAATTTTTCACCTCTCCACTTTAAACAATTTTCTCCTCTCCCAACACTCTATAAATTACATTAAAATTTTATTCAACTCTCATCCAGAACAATAATTCCTTTTTTACATTCCCCAATAAACAACTATAATAAATTTAAAACTTTATAACCAAAATTTTATACTAAAAAAATAATTCCTCCTTAGTATTTTGTCATAGTATCAAATATATATATTATCTCAAATTCTCTCATAACAACTCTCATATTAAAATATTTTTTCAACAAATTATCGATCTCCAAGAATTTCAATAATCACAAATTACAAAGTCAAACGTCTTTGCAAATTTCAAATTAAGTTTATAGATTAACATCTAAGCTAACTACTTTCCACGAGAATCAATAAAATTTCAACATCAAATTTAATTCTTCTAACAAACATTTCAACAACCGTCTCACATCCATCAATATTTAAATTTATATTTAAGCTATTTTCTTTTAATTTTTACCTTAGTAAATTCTTCAATAATAACCAATCCAAACAAAATTAATTTAACTCGAAACTTATGACCCATATACATGTCTCTGTGTGTAAATATTATTATCAAACTTTAAGATAAATTCCCAACTCAAATTTAAATCTTCTCCTACTTTCATCAGTACGGGCAGCAACAGAGCAAGTATAAAAATTTCTATAATTTTACTCATCAACTTACTCTTTAACTCCCACATGCTGTTAAGAAGTAATGCTCAATAATTCTCACCTTAATCCCCAATAATAGCAGAGGAAGAAGAGAACAAGAGGCACTGCTAGCCGAAGAAAAAGAGAAGACAAATTCACAGCTGAACAAGGAAGAGGGAATCATAAATTCTTGTCACTCCTAACATGAACAGAGATTCAGCACAAGAAAAATGAGAGAAATGTGAAGTGCTTCACCTTAAATCCACGGTAGAAAGCAAGAAGAAAGGAGATGGTTTAGATGGCTGCACAGGGGAGAGGGAAACCGAACACAGCTCGTAAAAGAGAGAAGAAATTGAATTAACAGCAGCAGATCAAGCTCGCGATGGCAAAACCAACAGCTCCTGCAACTCGATTTCGCACCCCCATCAGCAAACTTGGAACGCAAACGATCAAGACAAAAGAACAACCGAAGAAGACAGACAGAGTCAGGGAGACACGATGGAGGACCTGAGCTTTGCACAGCTTTGACGAGGCTCTACTTCTGCCAGCGACCACCAGGAACGGGAGGGAAGAGATGAAGTGCAGGGGAAAGATGGAGAAATGGATGAATCAGCTCTTCTCTCTCCTCCAAGATCTAGAAAAATCGAGCAAGAGGAGGAAATATATTCAGATTTCAAGAAACATAATTCAGTAATTTCATAAAATAAAGAGGATAAAAAATCTCCCTTTAGCCATTCGAGCTTGAGACTTATCGAGAGGATGCTTGTACAGCTACCACTGCACCGACTTTCTTTCTTGTCATACTTGTTCCATGAATTAATACAATTATCATTAAAACATAATATTACATAATAATTTTTTTAATTACTGGATTATTACAAAGCCACTGGTCATTTTATATTTTCCATGGATTCTATGACAAGTCATGGAAGAACAGAGAGAGAAGCCAATTGAGATTGATGAAATCAGAAGCAGAAAGAATATATAGCTCATGAAAGATGATGGAGGAAGAAGAGTGTCTATCATTAGTGAATAAATTGCGGTGATCATCAAATAGCAAGGCATGGAGACGGATCATTTTCATTTGTTTCCTGGCCCATCTGTTGACATTCTCCTGTTAAAGGCCACTTATCATTGAAAATAGGGCCCACTAGAGAATTTGTAACTACCGTTTGGAGGATTTAACGTTAGGTTAGCCAATACGCTGATTTAATTACTTAAGGGACAAAGCTTCAAAGGCAAAAATGAATCTTTACTTATGTAAAATTTTTTGTTGTTAAAATGGTAATAAAAACTTATTCTTTTTCTGAATGGTGACTTATTGTTAGTCTTTATCTATTAATAATTCTCTTGAGAGGTTTTTGGATGTAATTCTCTCGTTATATTAACTATTATATAGACCAAGAGACTATCTAATAATTATTGAAAATACCTACTATAGTCTTTTAAGTCAAATCCCGCCTCATTTATATTATGATTTTTGAAATAACCATTGTATAAGGGGCATTATATACATACTACTTTTTAGTAGTGATATATATCCTTGACTTGATTATATCACTTGATTACGTTCAGATTAGTTGAAAGTTGAAACTTTCTCATGATAACTACATAGTTCAAGAGATTACTAAAGATTTTGCATAGAAGTATATGATTATGTATTATTTTAATTGCCATTCTTATAAGAACTATATTGCCCAATCTCATGCAAAATTACAATAGATTAATGGATTAAATAGTATTTTTGCCCCTCAACTTAAGAACATCTAATATCTTAAACCTTTATTTGGTGTAACTTTTCCTTTTAATTTTTGAAAATGGTATATTAAATATCCTATCATTAAAAAGTTAACTTTAACCATTAATTGACCCAACAAATTTCAAAAAAAAGACCTAAAAATTACAAAAAAGAATCTCAAAAAGGAATTAATTGATATTAATTCAATTTATTATAATTTGACTCAAAAATCACAATATCACAAAAATAAATCTAGTTCATGTGAGGAGTTTTGGTAGACAATCTATAAGTAATTTTGTAATATTTATTGAATTTAGAAATATACCTAAATACTAGTAAGCTCTAGGACTTAATTCACCCAAATCTTTTCTTTAAAAAAGCCTAATGATAATGAAATTGGCACTTTTGGTCACTAAAATGAAGGGAGAATGACAAATAGGTCCTAAAGAATACAATTTATTCAAGTTAAGTTTCAACTAATTTCCCAATATTAACAAAGTTCTTTGGTTGTTCAGTGGTAAAATATTAAGCCTACTAACTTTAGGAATTTGTAAGTTTAACTCTCAATTTCACAATTTCATTATGATAAATTTATAACTTATTTTTCACATTTTAACAAGGTTAAAAATAAAAAATAAGCAATGCAAAAATGGAGGATCTATTTATTTTCTTGATAAGCCCACCCATATCCCATTGCATTCATTTTTTTCGTCAATATTATCTCATACATACATATTGAAAAATTGGAGAAAAAATTAGCTTGTGATGATATCAAACTCAATTATTCAAGTTGGTTCTTACAAGAGCACAAAATGCTGGTTCTCAATAGGGCATCAAAAACAACAACAATATATCAAAGATGTGCACAATATCAAGGACGTAAGGTCTTCTATAAATCCTTAGAGCTATTATACTTAATACTTTTCAACAATAAAGATGAATATTTGTATTTCTTGTTAAAATTTAAAGAATAAGTTGCAAATGCATTACAATAAAATTGTAAATTTGAGAGGTAAACTTCCAAATCACTAAAGCTGTTAGACATAATTTTTTTTATTCAACATTAATGTTGTGCTTGGCAGGAGAGAAAAGTATGGGGAAGGGGAAAATGAGGAGAATTGAGATTTTCTCCTCCTTGGATATAGAGAGAAAAATGGGAGGGAGAGAAAATTGTGGGACCCACATATTTTTATTAATTTTAAAGGAAAAATTTAATTTTCAAATTTACTGACGAATCTTTTTATTTCTTACATGTTGCCTCCCTCCATTTTCCTTCTAATTTTCCCTCCATTTTAGAATTTAAATTATTATATATTTAATAATTTAAGAAATAAAAATTAAAAATTGGACAAAATATTTTTTCTAGCATCGAATAAAAGAATTTATAGTTATATTTTTATTTAATCATTAACATGCATAATAAAAATTATAAAATAATATATTAAAATATTAAATTTTATTATTTATAAATATTTTTCTATGAATAATAAGGTTAATATTGTACATATGAAATTAACAATTTTCATTCCACCTGCTTTCTCTCGCTTAGCCAAGCATAGAAGAAAAGAATTACATACCTCTAGTTAAATCCCTCAAATGTTGATAGTTGATCTAACACTTAAGCAAGTGTTGATCATTTTTTTACTAATATGGACTGAAAGGGGGAAAAATACCCATGAAATTGTCAATATGAGGCATCCAATAACTTAAAGTAAGAAGGAAGATAAGAATACCAATAATGTTATTTTAGTAGGTGCAATAGAGACCAATATATCAAATCCTTTAAATGTTGATTGTTTAACATATATCTAAGTAAACATTAACAATTTTTTTGCTGATATGGAATGAAAAATATTCTCAAGTGAAATTCTGTTAATGCTGATCAGTTATCATTTGATAATGAGTCTCCACTTGAGGCTCTAATTTTGATGGCTGGAAAATATTGCTGTCATCAAACAAGTTAAATCATTTGCTTTTTTAAAACTCTAGTACCATTAAAGCTTCTTCTTGATGATCTGAATCGATAAAGGAAGTTTCTTGCAACTCAATTTTCTTTCCAACTTCATTTGCAACATCACATCTTTTTTCTACTAGTTCAATGTCTCAGGTTCAATGTCTAGCTGAGAAAGTTTTAGAAAATCATGCTTAATCGTCAAAAATTTCTATGAGAAGCTTTTACTTGAGAAATGTTTGAAGTCTTTGTTAAGGGTATCGCTAAATGGAAAGAAATTATGTGGCATAAATTTTGACGGATTGATTACTATTGCACCTACTAAAGTAACATTATGGGTATTCCTGTCCTTCTCACTTTGGGCTACCAGATATCTTTGGCTAACAATTTCATGAGTATTTTTGCCCCCCTTTTTTAGTCCATGTCAATAATAAAATGGTCAATATTTGCTTGGGAATTTACTGAACGATCAATATTTGAGCAATTTAATGGATTGGTCACCCTTGTAGCAAATCAGGTAACATTATAAGTATTTGCCCTTTTTCTCACTTAGGTGACTAGATGTTTCTAATCGATGACTTTATATATATATATATTTTTTGTCCCTTTGCCCTTTTGTTGAGACTCTTAAATTAGTTGCGATTTGACGTAAGTTAATTGATCCCTTGAAACTTAACTATAAGTCTCCCTAAAATGTAAATTAACATTTCGCCAAAAAGAATTAGCATTTTACAAAATATTATTATTTTTTAAAATCAAATGTTTAAGTTGGGAAAAATATCCATGAAATTGACTGCCAGGAGTATTGAGTAGTCTAAAGTGACAAAAAGAAGGCAAAAATATCCATAATGTTACCTAAGTTAGTACAAGAGTGGCCAATTGTTAAATACCTCAAATGTCGATCATTTAGCGAACGCCCAAGGATATTGACTTTTTTCCTTTGACATGGAGTAAAAAAGGGTAAAAATATTTATAAAGTCGTTCACTAAGGACATCTAGTAGCCTAAAGTGAGAAAAGGGATAGGAATGCCTATAATATTACTTCAATAGGTGCGATAGTGACTAATCCATCAAAATCGATACTACATAGTTTCTTTCCATTTGACAATACCTTAATAGAGATTTCAAACATTTCTCGAGCGAAGACTTTTTGAAGAAATTTCTAATAATTTAGCATGATCTTTTAGAACTCTCTTATTTAGGCAATGAATTTGAGCTAGCAAGCTGGCCAGAAAGAGATGCAATATTGTAAATGAAGTTGGAAGAAAATTGAGCTATAAGGAACTTTCTTTATCAATTCGATCACTAAGAAGAAACTTCAATAGTACAATATTTTTTTTAAAAAATGAGTGATTTAATTTGTTGTTCGGTTAAAATGACATTTTTACATTCATATTTTGTACATTTGAAAAATAGGAAGAAGAAAAAAAAATGAAGGTGCTTTGAGAAGAAGGGAAAGTAGCAAAAGAAAAAGTGGTAGTGGATATAATAGAAGTGGAACTAAAGAGATTATAGAAGAAGAAGAGGCAGATTGCCCTCCAATGCTACCTTTATTATCAAAACTAAGCTTCAAGTGGAGACTCATCATCATATAATGACCTATTAAATTTTGCAAAATTCTACCTAGAAATATTTTTTAATTCACATCAGTGAAAAATTATCAACTTCTGCTTAGATGTCAGCTAAATGGTTAACATTTGAGGGATTTAACAGATTGATTACTGTTACAACTACTAAAATAACGTTGAGTCTTTATGTCATTTTTCTTACTTTAGACTATTGAATGTCTTTGGTCGACGACTTTATAAAAATTTTTACTTTTTTTAAGTCTACGTCAGTGACAAAAATAGTCAATGTCTGTTTAGGTGTTAACTAAATGATTAACATTTAAGAAGAGATTTAACATATTTATTGCTCTAACGCCAACTTAAGTAATCTTATTAATATTTTTATTCTTTTTTCTTTTTTAAAATTACTAAATACTCCTGATGGATCACTTCTTAGGTATTTTTGTTCATTTACCTGTTTGAGTTTCAACAATTAACTAGTCAGTATTGACAACGGATATTTTGTCGGCGCAATTACAAATGCAACGCCCAACAGCCATGCCACCGCACCTTTCTGCCGCTGTTATGATCGATGCCTTTCCAGTGACGGTAAGGTCAGTTTTCTTTTCAAATTTGGATGGCTGTTCTTCTTTGAACTGGTAATTATTTTACTAATCTCTAAAGTCAAATTCAAATGTTTAAGTGAGGGACGATGACAAGAAATGGAAATTTGAGCACTCCACCAATAAATGGTCGATAATCTATGAAGAAATTTTAATACTTCAAAGATTGGAAGAAGAAAATTCATCTTGACCTAGCTGAAAACAAATGACTTTCCTTTTTTACCCCTTAAAAATCTCCACTACCATTAACTTTTAATGCAATCAAAGGAATTTCTAGAAACGAGTAACGCTCATATCCCCATTCCTGACTTGTTCGTTGTTGTATTCCGTCAAAACCATAGAATTTGGCCTTAGCTTGGAAAACAGTTGTTCACAGAGTCTGGAGTTATTTTTATTTGAGTCCCTCTCTTTCTTCACTACCTGTTTGCAGGAATAATATCTTCAACAAGTTTTGCTTTTATTTGAACTCCTTTTTCCCCTTCGTTTTCTTCCCCAGTTTCTTGGTTGCACTGCTTTTTGTGGGAGAAAGGAGAGGGTACATATGCGTAATCTTCTTCTCTTTGGTTTTAGTCTTACTTGTCTATTTGTCCTTCATAAAACTTCATCAGCAGCAGATACCTTAACTCCAAAGCAATCTATTATAGATGGCCAAGAGCTTACTTCTGCTGGACAATTTTTTGTTCTTGGATTCTTCAGCCCTGGAAACTCCAAAAGTCGATATGTAGGGATATGGTATAAAAATATTACGCCCCAAACTGTCGTTTGGGTTGCGAACAGAGAGAAACCACTGAATGACTCAAGTGGGAAAATCGCATTCGGTGCTGATGGGAATCTTGTTCTCTTGGATGGAAAAGAGAACCTTATGTGGTCTTCAATTTCCTCAAGAGCAATTCAAGCTCCAATTGCAAAGCTGCTAGATTCTGGGAATTTTGTTTTGATTAATGGAAAAGGTGATTCTGGAAGTTATATGTGGCAAAGCTTTGATCACCCTACTGATACTTTGTTACCAGGCATGAGGCTAGGTTGGGATAAGAATTCAGGCCTAAACAGGTACTTGACTTCTTGGAAGAGTGAAAATGACCCATCTAAAGGAAACTTTATCTACATCTTTGACCGTGTTGAATTTCCTGAAATAGTTCTTCGCGAGGGATCCATTATCAAGTTTCGGAGTGGAATTTGGAATGGTGTTGGATTAAATGCGGACATTTGGACATCATTTACAGCCTTCAAGCCAGAACTATCAGTAAGTGACAATGAGGTAGTATATTGGAATGACCCAGGAGATTTACTTACAAGGTATGTAATGAGATATGATGGGCTAGCTGAAAGATATATATGGGACACCCATACTCTAAAGTGGACTAATATCTATGAGGCAAGAAGAGACTCTTGTGATAATTATGGAATTTGTGGGGCAAATAGTATCTGCAATATCAATAGGATCCCTGTTTTATGTGATTGCTTGATTGGCTTCAAACCTAAATCTCAAGAAGAATGGAATGCATTTAATTGGTCTGGAGGATGCACTAGGAGGAAGCCATTAAACTGCACCCAGGTTGACAAGTTTGAAATGTTAAGCTGGGTGAAATTGCCAATGTTACTGGAATATTGGACTCAAGATAATATGACTCTTCAAGAATGTAAGATGAAGTGCTTGGAGAACTGTTCTTGTACAGCTTATGCAAACTCCGCTCTCAATGGAGGGCCTCATGGCTGCTTGATTTGGTTTGGCAACTTGGTTGACATGAAGGTTCTCCAAACTAGAGTAGGTCCACAACAGGACCTCTATGTGAGGTTAGCCGCATCAGAAGTAGGTATGTACTGATTCTACTGCTGCCTTAGTACAGTAGAAATTGCTGCTTTTACAATGTCTGTTCTAGTATAGAAGCAGAGAATTGGAATCCCAGCTTCTTCTCAGTCTTGCTCACAAACTTCAGCCTAGGCTTGTAATTATCTTGCATTGAACTGTTGCAGTGACATGTTATGTTATTAGCTCAACTTATATTTTCATAGCCAACCATTTGACATGGGCAGCATTGATAGAGACAATATGCTCATCTACTAATACTTCAGTGGACTTTATTATTGATACTCTTGCACACGCGTGCGTGTTTTTAAAGATGCGTTCATGCTTAGAATCATTATTGTCTTCATTTTTTTCATGGATGTGAAGGGTTCACTTCTACATCTAGTAAAAGGAAAGTAGCAATGGTGGCTATACTGGTGTCATTTTCACTGCTTGTGTTGTGCTTCATAGTGTACCTTGCCAAGAAGTTTAAAGAGAAGAAGACGCAGAAGATCACAAACGCCAATTTGGGTAAGATTCTTTGAATTGCTTTTGGATACTTGTCTTGTCAACCTGGATTGTGCCATCCAATAGCTACTTCATATCTCCTTTAAATCTGAATAGGGGATGTGGTTTGCTGCAAAAAACAAAAAATGATTGTTTCAGAGATTGAGGCAAAGAGCAGATGATTGACATAGTTCGGCGATGTTTCTCATTATTCCTTCAAAAATTGTGTAATGCTAGTTGGGTCCCTTTTTTGGCCATTTGGCAAATCTGTAATGCAGCTAATGTCAAATAGTCATTGAATTTTAAAAAGGTTTGTCAAGGAAAATCATGAAATGTTCGAACATGTTAAGCAATTATGGTTGTCTTACTGGGAATTGCTTCTCCAAATTGTAGGGCACGGAAACCATAGTGAAGAGCATTCATTGCCTCTCTTTGATATGCATACCATTCTAGCTGCAACTAACAATTTCTCTGAGGAGAATCAGATTGGAAAAGGTGGTTTTGGGCCTGTTTACAAGGTGATTCTTCTCCATAAAAATGCATTAACTATTCTTTTATTAACGTTGTAAATTTTACATATGCATATTAAAATTCAGGGCAAGATGTCAGATGGACAAGAAATAGCTGTGAAAAGGCTATCAAAAACCTCAAAACAAGGGATCCAAGAGTTTATGAATGAAGTTGGATTGGTTGCCAAATTCCAACACCGAAATCTTGTCAGGCTTTTGGGCGGATGTGTTCAGGGAGAAGAAAGAATGTTGGTCTATGAATACATGCCTAGTGGAAGTTTGGACCGTTTTATTTTTGGTAAGACCACCGCTTCAAAATTATAATTTGTCATAACAACATATGAAATTCATTATGGGGATTGCTTGCTAATTGAATACATTCCTGATAGAAGTTTCAACATATGTTCTCTTTTAATTTTACTAATTTTCTCTGTTACATCTAATTGAGCTTTGGCTAATTTTTCTTAGATCCTAGACAAGGAAGTCTTTTGAATTGGAGGAAGAGGTATGAAATCATCATGGGGATTGCTCGAGGGTTATTATATCTTCATCAAGATTCTAGATTAACTATCATTCATAGGGACTCGAAAACAAGTAACATTCTTTTAGACAATGACTTGCTCCCCAAAATCTCTGATTTTGGTTTAGCTCATATCTTTGAAGGAGATCATTCATCAGTAAATTCAGCAGTAAAGACACAAAGAATTGTTGGGACATAGTAAGTTGTATGATGGGTTAATAAAAGTTTTTCCATTATAAAGACTAATAAAATGTCTTAGTTGTGGAATGGAAAAACTAATGTTTTGTTGTGTTTGATAATGTGCAGTGGTTACATGTCACCTGAATATGCACTACGTGGACTATTGTCCTAAATCTGATGTATTTAGCTTTGGGGTTATAGTGTTAGAGATGTTGAGTGGCATAAAAATAGTCGCTACAGAAGTCCAGATTACTGCCGTAATCTGTTGGGGCAGGTAACCTCATTTAGCTACATGCGATGCAATATCTATGTTAAAGCCTTTCCTTTGATTGATTTTCTTGGGAACCGGTACTTACATCTTGTTTCTCAGGTATTTCCCTCAAGTTTTCTATGATATTATATTTGAATATTTGTTTTTAACTTAGCTGCACATCATTGTACCCATCGAAAGAGCTCTTCCTCGCATGACAATTCATTTGAAGAACTTCATAGAATTGCATGTAAGTATTCTCTTTTTTTGTGATTTGTTCTCCATTACTAACTTCTTTTGCTGCATCTAGGCGTGGATACTGTGGAAAGAAAAACGGCCCTTGGATTTTATGGATGTAAATTGTGACTTGACAGATATGTCAACTGAACTAATCAAATGCCTGCAAATTGGTCTCTTATGTGTGCAAAAGTTCCCTGAAGATAGACCAACTATGCTGTCTGTGGTTTTCATGTTGTCCAATGAATGCATGGCACTTCCCGAACCCAAGGTTCCTGGATTTTTCATGGAGGAGTTTGGTGATTATAGTCAGGACCATTTTAGTAACAATGCTATGACTATTACACTTTTGGAAGCCCGGAATTAGGAACTTGCCGTGGTTTTATTCTTTTATGTTTGTAGTTGTAATATACAGAAATGCAAGACTTAATGCTCTTCAAATGTCTAAAACCATTCTTCTTTCTTCCTTTCCAGTTCCTATGTCAAGGTGATGAGAGAAAAGCTTGGACAGTTTGTCTTAATCTCTGGGAGGTCTCATTTTGATGAAAGTAAAACAGTTGTCTCATAACTATCTTAATCAAATGAAAATATAACTATTGATCCCTATAGTTTTAATGTGTTTTGGTATAGATTTTTATAGTTTTTATTTTTGTTGCTTTAGACCTTTCTAATATATCCTGTCTACAATACTAGTCCCTATGTTTTTTTTTTTAATATGCCCAAAAGGACAATGAGGTGGCACTAACAATATTAAATATGCTAACGTTTGTCTAATGTCATTAATCTTTGTGTTAAGGAATTTTGATTCAAAAAATTAAAACATAAAACAAAATGGGGTGGACAACGTTGTTAACCTATTGAATTATAATTCTCCTTTAACACAAATTAATAGTATTAGTCATATGTCAACATGTTTAACACCATTAGTACTATCTTAGTGTCCTCCTAGGCTTGTTCAAAAATAGAGAGACTAATGTTGCAAATGAGATAAACTAGGAGACTTGGAATTGACAAAAAAAAAAAAAACTACAAGGATGTATTCCAAGACATGCTAAAACTATGGGAATCTATAATTATATTTTTCCAAAATAGTTAATTGAGGTTGGTTTAGTTGCTAAAAATTGATTTTATATTTTACAAATGCATGGGTTCAAATTTTGCTAGTAATGTGAGAATCTTGTTAGTGGTTACTCTGTAAATATATTTACAAGTGCTCGTTGAGTTGTGAAATTTCTTTTAGCCCTATTAAGTCTTTGGGATTCAATCAACCTGAAAAACACGAAAATTAGATTTAAAAAAATTGATCCCACAAGCATTAAACAATGGAAAATTTCCATAAATTCAGGAAGTTATTTGCAATATATAAATATGCCAGATAACTAAAAGCTTTTTAAACTATCAACTATCAAGAAAGCATCTACTCTGTGACTAAGCCTTGCTCTGTTTGCTTTCTTGAAGATAATATTAACATGTTGTTCCCTCAAGATTTTTAGGCTTGGCTTCGATAGAACAAAAACTGAGGGAAAAAAAATAGGATAGAGGAAAATCTCTCAAAATAGTAAAATTTACTTGAGAGTTTTTCTTCATAGCATTTTTTAACTATTCAAATTAAGGGTTAATGCAAATCGTGATAGTGTACTAGGAAATTCGATTTACATTTCAGGTCTCAACTTTTCAGTGTGTCCCAACAAAAATATTTTCCACATTTGTCCCACTCTCAAATAAAATATTGCTCGCCTTGATAGCTATATATATGCAAGTTGGTGATCAATACTGCTATCAAGTTAGAGAACTATAGACAAATTAAGATGTATTTTCTCTCTTATTATAGTGCACTAAATATTTATATTTTAAAACGAATGTGTTGCATTGAATATAATTTTAAGTGATTGATTGGTTTTTTTTTAATCCACAAATCTTTTTATTAAAAATAATTTTACTTGAAGTATTATTGATCATTAAATGTGAACATATCTTTCAATAAAAAATTAAATCTGATTTACCATATTGTGAAAGACATGTTTTTTTTTTAATTAAACTCAACTTCTATTAACGATTGACTAATGTAACTTTTTTTTTTTTAATTCCTTTGAAAGTGTGAATAGGTGGGACTTTATCAACTTTTATGCAAGCCGAGGACTTTGAAACTTTGTTTGGATGGCCATAAAAAAGAGAGGTTAGGTAAAAAAAAGACAAAAAACAAAAATTACAAAGCTTTGTCAAAATTATATATTTAAATGCAAACCATTTAGGAGAGACTTAGAAATTGACAGCTGTTTCGAATTATGTATGTTAACAAATTCAATAGGGTAGAAGACTTGAAAAGCAGAGCACCTGGTCAATAAATTATTCCTAGTTTGTGTAAATCACACGAGTCATACCTCTGAATAGATATGAATCTGACCTTGTGACAGAGAGAGAAAAATTGGATTCATTTAAATATATTATGCCTTCAAGAAACTTTTGGGAACAAATAACACTCATACCTTCATGATCTTTTATTTTATATTTGAATATCTATACACACACACTTATATCAACACACATATTTATATATGTACATTGTGATCATACCCCATCCATCATATTCATTAATGTTGGCATGTTGCTTATCAACGGCAAGTAAACATGACACCCAAAAAAAAAAAAAAAGTGTTCAGGGTCTCAGTTCTTGAACTTATAATTTAAAAACAAAATTGATTATGCATGTGAATATTGATCTTAGTCTTTCAACGTTCTGTTTTTTTGCATGTCTTATATATCCCTCTATTTAAAATGAGACGAAAATAGAAAAGAGAGAATTGCACGCGGAAGAAAAGTTTTTTTTTTTTTTTTCGCTGTGTTAACGGAAAACCAAAGTGAAAAATATCTTTTTTTTTTCTCTCCTAATTTTTTCCTTATTCTTATATTCTTCCCATTCCAAACAAAGCCTAAATTATCATTCATTTGTAGCATATAGCTTAACTTTAAAAAGTTATGCTATAAGTCAGATAATTTAACACTGTTAGTGCTACATTATTATTCCTTTGGACATATTTAAAAATAAAAAAACTAACATTATAAACAGAAAAACTATAGGTACTTGGAACAATGAAAAAAAAAATGTACAAGGATCAATAAGAAAACATAATAAAACTATTGAGACTAATAATTATGTTTTTTTTTGTGTATTTTTTTTAATTGCCTTGCTAATAAGAACTGTGTTGCCCAATCTCATGCAGAATCACAGTACATTAATTCATCACCCATTTCTAAAAATGACTTGTAACTATAAAAAAAAAATGAGGATAAAAATAAGTAATACACAATATAATCAAATGCCAGTTATAAGGCAGCAGAAATATGTATTACTATTCAGTAAAGGTATCTCTCCCTTATATACACCAAAACAAGATCAAAGATCTGAAAGACGCCGCAACTATCATATGCAAAAAAATTTACATACTCTCAGCAAAATCATTTGAAATATACAGATTTGTTTTATGAATAACTATACCTGTTTTCACTACCTAGCATGTAGCATTGTGACTGTACTTCATTCACACTGTATGATTGGTCTTGTTTACTTGAAGAAGACTCTGTTTCATTAGGGTTTCTTCCTACGCAAAAGCCAGGGGTTTTAGGTTGTGGCATCAATACAGTTTCACTACTCAACATCAATACCACGGTGGGCATGGTAGGTCGATCTTCTGCACGCTCTTGGACACATAGGAGTCCGACTTGTATGCATCGAAGAACTTCGGATGGCGAATATAAATCCGCGATCGATGGATCGATCATTTCAAGTGCTTTTCCTTCTTTCCATTGATTCCATGCCTGTAATTGAAGCACAGATCTTTTTCAGCACAAGATGATATGACAAAATATGAACTGAAGTCATTACCTAATGACAGATACTCTTGCACTTACATGTCCAAGAAGATTTAATTCGTCGTTTGAGTAATAGAACCCTCTGTTCTTCCTGGCAGTTATGATCTCAAGTACTAGAACGCCAAAACTGAAAACATCAGACTTTATTGAGAAGAGTCCATCCATGGCGTATTCTGGAGACATGTAACCACTGCATAATGGGAGAACATATTAAATATGAGGTCACGATATTGAGTCTTAAGGAGTGTAAGATACTTTTGAAAACACTTACTATGTTCCAACAACTCTTATTGTATTTGCTTCTGTTTGATTTGTTCCAAAAATTCTAACCATTCCAAAATCCGATATTTTTGGATTCATTTCTTCATCAAGTAAGACGTTGCTGGCTTTAAGATCCCTATGGATGATCCTAAATCTAGAATCTTGATGCAAGTAAAGAAGTCCTCTTGCAATGCCACATATAATGTGGAAGCGCTTTTGCCAATTTAGTATGGATCTTCTTGCTTTGTCTGGAAAACAGGTAGAAGTTTCATTCCTAATGAATCAAACTTGACTGCAATAAAAATCACAACAAAGCTTAAAAATACACAATGTGATTACAACTTACCAAACAAAATGGAATCAAGGCTTCTATTCTCCATGTACTCATAAACTAGCATCTTCTCATCCATCTCAACACAGCAACCAAACAACCGAACAAGATTTCGATGCTGAAGTCTCACTAATAACCTGACCTCATTCTTAAATTGTTCAGTTCCTTGCCCAGAGTTTCTTGATAACCTTTTCACAGCAATTTCTTGGCCTTCCATTAATCTACCCTGGCATAACAACAACCAGTCTCTCCCTATTAGTTTCTTAATTCTGCTGTGTAATATTGAAGGTTAGTGTCTTAAGAGATATCATATCAGGGGGGAAATTTTACCTTGTAAACACTGCCAAAGCCTCCTTCTCCAAGCTTGTTTTCTTCGGAGAAGTTGTTTGTAGCCGTTGATATGGTGTTAAAATCAAACAATGGCAACTCTAGTTCATCCATCTCACTTTCACCAGATTTACCTCTATTGCTTGTGAACACTGGCTCATTCATTAGAGAATCTTGACTAAATCCACCTATAAAAACAAGCGAAACATTTTGTCGAACATCTCATCTGCATACGATAATAAGCATTCATACAAGAAATATTATTTATGTATTACCTCTAGATTCAGTCCTCCCTTTCAACATCTCCGCAATTTCCTTCTCTTCCAGATGAAATAAATGAGTAATCCCAATAGTACAACAGCTATGGAAACTGTAATGCCTATAGCCTTAGCTTCCACATTGTTCTTCTCAGATCCACCTGCAGATTCTATATAATCTGAGTATAACTGATATCTAAGTAGAGATATTATATATTCACTTTTGTGCATAATTATATATATTATATTTTTTTAGTTGATAACTGCAAGTTCTAACGTCAAAATGTGTAAATTAAGTCAGAAATAAAACTCTGTAGCAGACGATGAGCTCACGTCATGGAAATTACTCCGGAGCTTCACTGTGATGCAAAAGCGGCTTTGCGCATAAAAAGCTCTTTTGCAAAGTAGGCATGAGAAATTGAAACTAACAATGGAAATTTGCTGAGTAGCAATAGAACCAACTTGCATTGGCTCTGTTTTTCTGTTGTTTGGTCCCACTTGTAATCAAGAACTACGCAACTTCAAAGAAAACAGAGTCTTCAAAAAAGGTGAATAAGGAAAAGAAGAAAAAGAAGGCACAAAGTTGGCTAGTTTTGAATTTTTAGATTGCTTGATAGTTACATAGCAATGTGGGAAAAGAAGCACTCCCGCCATAATAATTGTTGAAAAACAACTTTTTTGGATCCCATCATAAAAGTTAGTTGGTATGAGTTACATTTCACCAAACTCCAAGCTCCATTCTCATTTTAGAATGTAGTTTTGTTTAATATGGTGCTTTAGGTATTAGTGCATAGTTCAAAAACATGTTGAGGTCCATAAATATGATCATACATATGCAAATGGACAATTCAATACATCTTTTTAAATTTGACTAATTGATTTAATAATTTATTTTCACATGATAATTATTTGGTATCTAGTATTACCATAAAAGTCAAAACCAAAATCTTATTTAAAAAGTACCAAATTCTTTCTATTTGACTTAACCACTAAAACTATAAGTGATACAATCGTAATTACACATCAATAACATGCAAATAAATGATCAATTCAACCACCTTTATATATATATATATATATATTAAAGTTTTAAATCATTGACTTCCATTCATACCCATCTCACTCGAATCCAACAGCCCACTTAGCATCAAGGTGGCTCAATCAAATTTTTTCTTGTTATGAATTCAACCTGTTGTAGGGTTCAATTATAATTAATAAAACTTTCATTTAATTTTTTAAAGAAAATTAGGTAAATCAACAATTTTGCAGCAGGGTAGACAATTCACTCACGTTTCAACTTTAATTATGTAAACAAAATGTGAAATAGCCACTAATTGTGGGGCCCAAGATATACACAAGTAAAAGAGGTCGGCCCAAACTTAAAATTGAATGGGCCCATATAGTGCATTTTCAGTTGCTTTTCATCCAGAAGCAAAACATATGCCACCCTCTCGTGGGTCGACAAACTTTTTGAAAAGTCTCTTTTTTTATGATACTCTCAAATTTCTTTAATTTAATTAATCCTCTTGAAAAAGTCCTAGAAAGGACTTCAAAACTAGCATTAATTTCTTAAAAAGATATAACATATTTTTAAATGAGAAAGAGTAAAAAAAAATGATGACAAGAAAGAGTATATTACTGTCCCAAAAAAAAATGAGAATAAATTAAAAAATTGCGTAAAATTAATGAAAATGCCAAAAATAAATTTTATTCAATTTTATTTCCTGAAAATTAGGGTAATTAATTAAGAGAATTTTAGAGCTAAGAAATTTTTAAAAGAATTACTTTTCATCTTCTCTGTTGTTCAAATAATTTAAAATCAAAGCTTCAAAATGTAACAAAAAATGTCAATGAATTCCCAAAAAAAACGACGGTTTTCAGGCCCAAAAAAAAAACAAAAACATCAATAATTTCAAATTCTCCCACATTTTTCCGCGTTAAAGAAGGAAAAGTAATATATTTTCTCTTCAAAACTCTATAACCAATAATCAAATTTGACCTAAAAATAGACAGGTATGCAAGTCAAGTCAAAGTTAATATGATCTGAATTCACAACTAAGAAAAACAGCAATCGAACACTCCAACCGATCTGTCCTTTTCCCCCAAAACCATCCCCTTCTTGGACTTACATGTGTTCGTCATCTCAAAATAATACAGATCCTCACCAGATTTCACGGATCCAATTCTTATTAAATTAATTTTTTATACATTGATAATCATAAAATTAAGATCATTTTAATTTTATTTTTATTCAAAACTTAAACATATAATTTTAATTTAAAAATAAAAAATAGACTGTCCAAATGATTCTGGACCAACAAAATGAGATACACCCTAATCAGTGGCAAAGCCTTACCCTGGGCCACAAATTTACTTAAATATTAAAATTTAAAAAAATAATTTAATCATTAAAAATTTGATAAATAATTAAATAGTAAATAATCAAATAGGTTTAAATTTTAAAATATCAAAAATAAGGGATGCAAATTATAAAAGTTTGCACTTTAGTATGTAATGTTCTCCAAATATGCCCCTATGCCTACAGTCTACTAACCATAATGTTCATCATCTTAAAAACGTGAAAATGACTTCTGTTTTTTTGGGCGGGGGGGTGGTTGTCAAAACATGTTCTGTTCATTCAGAGTTCTACATTTAGAAGTTCATTACCCATATATAACCTAAATTATTTAAGAATAATATTAATCAAACTGCAAATTCTAACATGAACAGGAAACAGATAATCAATCAAACCCAGAACATAAAATCAATCAAAACAAAGGATTTATTGGAAACATACCTACATCAGAAGCTGCTAATCTGACATGCAGATCTTGGCCGCCATCAGTATAAACTCTCATATCTACGAGTTCATCAGTCCACATAACGCACCCAGTTCCTCCATTGGTGATCTCTATGTTCGCATAAGCAGTGCATGAACAATTCTTCTGACACAAACCTCCACAATCTACGAGGTTCATGCTTCTGTTCACGAACACCGAGGTTGTTTCAGGCAACTTCACGTTCTGTACCTTCAAGAACTTATCAGTCCCACAATCTAATTCTGTGTTCCTCACACACCCATCAGACCCATCTCTCAGATTCCATGCTTGTTTGTTCTTAGGACTGAACCCTTTCATACATGTACAAACTGGTGAAGCATTCGTGTCACATAACCCATAGGGACCACATTCTTTGTAGTCATCGCATTGGTCTTTCGGAGCATACCAGAATTTGGTCCAAACTTGGTTATCTGGTACCCAGGTTAATCGTTGAAGCTGACCATCAGGTGTTACGATGAGTCTTGAAAATAACGATTCGTTTCCGATGGTGAATGTGTAGTATAATTGGTGTTCATCCTCGTAGAAGTCGAACTTGATTGTGTCTGTGTCAGATTTCATTTCTGGAACCCCACTGAATCTTACCCCATTCCAAGGTCCACTTCTGTACAGTTTTGTCTGGTTGTTCCACAGGAAAATCTCTGGGAGGCCATGGAAATCGAGCTTGAAGGAGATAAGACCTGTGGATGGATCTTCACTTGAAGTCCATGATGTTATATGCTTCTCCATTTTTGTGTCGAAGTTATACAGAAGCTTCATGCCTGGTAAGAGCGTGTCTGTGGGGTAATCGAAGCTCTGCCAGAGAGAATTCGAATCGTTGGCTTCTCTGATAATCAGATTCCCGGAATCGAGAATCTGAAGAACCGGGTTTTTCGCTGCGGTTTGGTTCGATGACCATATGGGTTTCCCGGTTCGATCCACAATCTGCATATTGTTTCCTGTTTCTCCTCCGATCTTGAGAATCCCATTAGAATCCTCAAGTGGGTTGTCTCTATTTGCGACCCAAACCAGTGTACGATCTGGAATGTTCTTGTACCATATTCCCAGGTAGTATTTTGAATCATCTGAAGAGAAGAAACCCAGAACGAAAGCCTGTTTGGATGACAGAAGCGTCTCGTTGGTTTTGAGAGATTGGGTTGAGCTCAAGGTATCTGATGAAGAGAATGAAATTGCAGGGAAGCAAGAGAGGAAAGTGATGAAGAAGAACCAGAAATGATATTGGAGGAGGAGGTTAGTGACACCTCCCATAATCAATGGCTGGTTTTGCAGAACCAGAAAAAAGTGAGAGACTTTAGATTGTAAAAGTAGGTTATGTAGTTGGATTTCGTTTATATATGAAACCAATTTTCTCCTTAACTCTTCTTTCCTCACCTACTTTTCATATAGTTGATTTAGACTGTTGGGCCGTTTTAAATTTAATTTAATTTAATTTACTCTAAGTGTTTAAATTATGACATACTTTCAATTATATTTCACATATTAATTTTTATTTTTATGAAAAAAATTACATGTTTTTCGTTGTTGCCCTTAACTTTTTTTTATTATGAATAGTGAAAAGAAGTGTTTAGTTATTTGACCTAAAAAAAAAATTTAATTACTCCCTCTATTTTAAAATGTAAAGTATTTTTTAAGGGGTTAGATATTAAAAATATAAAAAAATTTTAATTTTTTAAGTTATAATTATTATCTTTTTAAGTGTCTTTATTGAATAAATTAGTTTATATTTATTTTAAGATCAAATACTTATTAAACAAGAGAGATTGTGAAAATATTGGGTTAATTTAAAAATAAGTAACTATTTTTATTGAGAGGTGAGATTTGGTTAAAATATTTTATATTTTTTAACAAAAGAAGTGTATATATTATATTTTTTATGATCACAATAATTAATACAAGGATAAATTTAAAAAATAATAATTTTGGAAAATACTAAATGTGCTACATTTTCGATCAAGCCTAGTTAGAAAAAAATGTCTTACTAGAATTGAGGGATTTGTCTTACTAGCTTTAATTTTAATTTTAATTATTGTATTATATATTAAATTCCAATCATCTAAATTTGGTCTAAATTATAAGAAAAAGAATTACCAACATATATTCAATCCAATATCACTTTAATAATAAGGTCATGAATTTGATTCTTGTGTAATATAAAATAAGTACTCTTTAAGAGATAATTCAAACAAGAAGGCGGCCTTATAACATTATTCAAATGTGAATTATTTGATAAATTGTGAATTATGGCGGTCACAGTAGGTTTGGCTGAGCCAGGTTTGATCTTGGCCCGAAGATTTTTGAGGAGTAGGACCAAGCTTATCAAATGACAATCACTTCTAGAAGGGGAAAAAGAAAAGAAAGAGAAGCACGCAGAATCCAAATTTGTAAATAATTAACTTTTAGTTGGTTTAGGTATGCAAGATGAGAAAATTGAACAAGTTGACAACGACAATGCATTTCACATTTAGTTCGACATTCCATGTTCCACTTGCTTTAATGTTTCTTGTTTGAATAATGCATTCCATAGTCCCATATTTGAAAAGGACAATTATATATATATATATATATATTGGTAAGATTATGGCGCAACATGTGCTTTCTGTGACCTAGCTAATGGTTAATTTCCTCAGATTTGATCATTTTTCCTAATACATCGATTCCATGACATCATCTTCTGGATTTTATGTTAAAAAAGGGGGACGGTATGAATCATTCAATAAATCAATTAATGATAGAAAGGTTGTGTTTGAAATCTCATTTCATTATTAAGGTACTTCAAAACGTTTTTTTTTTTTAATTTCTGGATATAAAAAAAGTTATGATTTAAATATATTAAAATTATATAATATAAAAGAATTTTTTTTTGTAGAAAAATATACTAAATTTCTAAAACTAGTGTTTAAACTTATATCATAGATTGAGCATATTTTCATATTCAAAACGCTTACAGAAGTCTTGATATATTATCCCTCAAAAATATTCTCACATCAGTAAAGAAATTTGATTTCACAACTTTATAAGTTATTATCCTTAACAACTAAAGTAAACTTTATTGGTAAATAGAAAATATCACATATTTCAATATTTTAATTAAACACAATAAAGGTGTATTCAACCTTTTAAAAAGTTGTGTTATTGTATCTTCTCTGAATGTGAAAAATATCTATTAATAATAAATGTAGTGCACTTGGTCTACCTAAGTTTTCTCTTATATCCTTCAATGAATTAGTTAATTATATTTAAAATTACACACTCTTTCTGCATTTACCATAAAAAAATTTATTAATTACACACTAAAAAGTTCAAATTGCCTTAAAGTATTTAACATGATGATTTAAAAATATTTTATAGTATTGAAGGAGGAAGTATGCCTTATAATCGTCATACATATGCCTATTTCCAAAGCTCGATGTCGATTATCAAGACGTAGGGCTTAGCTTGAAATCTATATATATATATATATATATATATATATATATGTTGCAAATTTTAATTAAATTAATTCTCAAATAATATTCAGCAAAGAATAAAGTTTAAATTTATAATGAAAAATATTTTCTTTTCAATTCCTTAATCACATATGCAATCAAACACTTTACTAACCAATTCAGCGAATGGATCCCAATACAGTAAAAATGGTGTGGTGGCTAGGAAGTGAACAATCCTTTCTGTGTATCTTATCCAATGGTTAGTAAGAGAAATATTCATAAAAAGACTTTTCACATGCAAAACACATTTGAGAAATCAACTATTTAGTGTGTGTTTAATTTTTAATTTACATCTGACAAAAGTACATTTGAGAGGATCCAACTATTTGTTGGATTTGGTAAAAACATATCCTAAATGTGATTTAAATGTGCTTTTGAAGGTTACCTACATAAGTCCTTGATCACATTATATACACTATGATTTATAAAAATATTTTTTAATAAATTTGCTTTATCACCAATTCGAACAATCAAAATTTAATTTGAATGATTTAAATTTAATAATAAATGTCTATAATTTTTTAAATTGATTATCTAAATTTATTTTGAATACAATTCAAATTTAGAAATTTTAATTAGTGTTTTTTAAAAAATAATATTTTTTGGAAGCCGTCAATTAGGATATTATCATTATTTTTTATTTCATTTATCAAAGTAAAAATTATAAAAAAATTAATATTAAATATGAATTGTTTCGTGTACATCTAAATAGTCAATTTATAAAAATTTTAAAAACAATATTAAATTGAACCATATAGATTAAATTTGTACTATCCAAATTAGTAATTAAGACATTTATTAAGAATTGTATAATTTATATACTTTTTAACAATTATAATTTTTTTAGTTAAACATGATTGTATGTTTAGTAATACTGCTTACTAGCCACATATAATTAATCATTAATTAAAACTCTACCATACCATAGTAAATAAAACAAAAGCAATGTTTCCAAATATTTACCATAATAAAAAGGGTTAAACATAGTCAAAGGTTTCAACGAAAAAGCCTAGGTATAAAAACCACTTTAAAGTCAGGATCTCATGATTAAATAAATTTGAAATTAGCATGTTCTAAAAGGTTTCCAAACACGTTAAAAAAAATAAGAGTTAAATAATGTTTGAGAAGTGTGGGAATTAGTTAGGCCTAAAAACAATCCAAAACAAGATCAAACAAGGTCAAAACAACGTGACAAATGCAATATGCCGTAACATGTGATACAAAAGCCATTCATGTGCAGCTAAAGGTACGATGCATTATGGCCTACACCTACTATGTTATACACTGTAGCGCACGCTACATGATAACAATGCTATCACAACAACATTTCAAAACAAATTTCTAGCACGCATACCTTTTAAGTCAGGCATCCAATTAAGATCATTCAAGAGCTTACACGTAGACGATTTCATAATCTAGCTAATATTACTGGCTTTGGTTTCACCAAATCCGATATCATATAGGGATTTTGGACACTCAGGGTGCCATTTCAATTAATTTTCATTCTTTCATAATCAATAAGTGTCTAAACTCCTACCAAATAGTCATTAACCCACACAATGCTTTAAACTACACTCAATGGACCATAAAGAAAGTTCCTAAATACCCAAACAACTCATACACATCACATAACCAAAATCAACCATCCAATAACCACAAATCAAGGGTCTGACCATATGAATTTTTCTCATAAGATATCATCAACATATCAAGGCATTCAAAGTGAATTTGTCACATCTAAATATACCTGCATATAAATTGGACCCAAACAAAAGCCAACAATGGGACAAACCCCAATGTTGGGCCAAATACCCTAAAATGCCAAATAATTAATGTTAATAGCTATATGCAAGCTTAAATTCATACATGACCCCTAATTGGAAAATATGTATTTAATCCACACAAAATAAAATCTAGGGACATTACAATCTAGAATCAAGCATCTCTATCCTCAAAGGCCTCCCTTTTTCCCTTAGTTGAATTCTCACCTATAAAATGCTAAACCACAAGAGTAAAGATAAACATCCCAATAACAAAAAAACTAAAACTCATACACGTGCAAGTGTGGTAGTCATAAGCATGCAATGGTGTATTTCAAATCAAGGTTATCCAAGTATTCAAGCATGCAATTAAGCTAGATATGAAATGCATGATCAATGCACCACCTTATTACTCTCCTTATTTCCTTTAGTTGAACCCATGACCTACTATTATGAATAAGACTAGTTCATGTGACTAGACTAACTCAAGCTCTACAATTGTGAGAAGTAATCCGGCTAAAGGCTCTCATGCTCACTTTCAAATCATGGATTCCCCCTCTCTTAAATCTCAAGGTTGTGATAATGCCAAACCCAATTATTCCCCTTAGGAACAAGTGATATAAGGTAATACCCAACTCATGCAATTTTCTAAAGGACAATAATAATACCAAGCAATTTAAATACAATCACACTAACCACTAGGGCCACTCATAGTGAAGGCTTATCATATGAATTTAAAGTCTCTACTTTCTTTATAGTGAACTCTCACTCAAATATGATAATGCCAAAAGTACAATTCTTGCTCTTTATGTACAATTTCATAAACTCATGCTTAACTATAGCATCAACCATTAACATGCTTGAATTTCTTGTTAATTAACAAATCATCTCATTAGCATTATATAACATATTCACCCACTTAACAATGTTTTCTAAAAAATAAAAAATATAAATTTTCATATTAAAATACATTGTAAGAATTTCACATAACTCATAACTATAAAAAAGCATATATAATAATGTAGGTTCCTA